TAAAATAAAAATTTCAGTTCCTCTGTCTCATTAGTCACGTTTCAAGTGCTGAATAGTCATATGTGGCTAGTGGCTACCAGGCTGGACAGTAGAGATGCAGGACATTTCCATCACTGCAGAAAGTTCTATTTGAATGTAAATTATCTCATTAATATTTTTTACATTGATTACATGTTGAAATAACATTTAAAATATATTGAGTTAAATAAGATATAGTAAATATTAACTTCACCTGTTTCTTTTTACCTTTTTTTTACTGTAAGAGACTTGTCAATTACCTCCGTGGCTCGTATGTCTCTTGGACAGTGCCGTTATAGATGGACACAAGAACTTACCTCCATTTTCCCATCATTTTTAACGCCACATCCTTTCAGTGGTATTCTATTTGATGATGGCTATAAAAATCTTTTCCTAACACAAAGGTTACAGAGTCAGCCCAGAGTAATGGCACAAATGCAAGCTTTGGAGCCGGAAAAACTCAGTTTTAAATCTCAGTTCCATCTCCCTGCTAGCTGCGTGATCTTGGGCAAATTACTTAATTTCTTTGTGCCTCAGTTTTCTCATCTGAAAAATGCAGTCAACGAACGAGCCACTGCATAGCCTGGCTTTGAACATCAGAGGAGACAGTGCATGTCTCCTCTAGGGGACTACCATGGGCCTGGCCCCTAGGACACCTCAGGAAGTGGTAGCCATTGTTACTGTTATCATTGTCATTAGTATTTTTAGCATGTAAGTGTAAGCGGTTATGGTCAGTTTCTCTGGCCACAGACCACGCACCCCGCTGCCTCCTGCCTCAGCACTCTTATTCTCTGATAATGACCCCTCAGAGGTGGTGCAAAGGCAGCTGTCAGCCTCCTCTCCCGGCCCTATGCAAAGCCCTTGGGCACAGCCCGGGCACTCACCTGCTGGCAGCTGCTGGCCCAGGAGGCCCTGAGAGCACCCCAGTTTTCCGAGCGCCCGGCCTTGCTCTCCAGGTGCATCCGCAGTTGTGCCTCCAGCTCCTGGCTGACTTTCTCGAGGGTGTGCACCTTAGCCATGTATTCCACCAGGCACCCCCCCAGGTCCTCGACGGCACTGAGGTCCCTCTCTAGGCCTGGAACAGGTGCCGTGGTTCCTGAGCTCCGCAGGCCCTGCAGGAAGACACTGCTGATGCCCAGGGCCCTGCGGGTCACACGGGCGGCCAGGCCACTTGTGGACACACTGGGTGCCATCCCTACATAGACCCTGGGTGCTCGGACGAGGCCACCCACAGCGTTGGTCCTGGAGGCCGGGGGGCTTTCCAGGGGAGATACCCGTGCTCCCCTGAAGGATGCCCGGTGCCTCTGGAGGGGCATGCTGGGGCTGGCCCCGGCGGGCGCCTCCACCACCACTCGCCTTGTGCTCATCACCCTTCTGCCTCTGCTGTGCCTAGTGGGTTTAGAGTCCAGTGGCTTTTGGTTTCCAGACCCAGCGTCCCTGCGGCCGGGTCACGGGTCTCTCTGGAAGCTTCCCTATCCCCAGGGCTGCTTTGTCTGCTATTTTCCATGAGTTTCCATCATTCACCGAGCTGAAACAAGCCCTACCCAGGGCTGTGTGCAGAGAGGCACTCGTGCATTCTCTGCAGGGTCACGTGTCTGACCTCCCAGATTTTCCTGCTGGTGGTGGGGGAGGCTGGATCAGTGCCGGCTGTGGGGGTGGCTCATCTGGATTTGTGTATTTTACTACCTAAGAGAGGGCAAGGCAGGCATCAAGCAGCCCCATTTCACAGATGAGTAAACTGAGGCTCAGAGACCTCAGATCACAGGCGTAGTGAGCCAGGACCAAATCCGGGTGTTTCAGGGCCGATTTTTGGACTTTCTACACTCTTGCCTGTGCTGTGTGTGTGAGTGAACGTGGATGGAAATGGATGTGAACCAGCCGTGGCCGGAGGCCGCCCCAGGGACTCAAGAGCAACAAACCAAGCCTGCTGCTTCCTTCACCCTCCCTCAGTCCTGGCAGCAGCTCCAGGTCCCTCCCTGGCATCTTTCTGCCCTTGAACACTGCCATTTATGAGCGGCTTGCCCTTCGGCGCATTCCTTCACCTCCCTGAACCTTACCTTTCACGCACCGGCCTGGGGAGGGTTCCTCGGACTGTCTAATGCGTTAGACAAGGGACCTTAGACACATTCAGGCGCCACACGTTAGGCACCTAGAATGCTCTAGTTGTTCCCTACACCTCTGTTTCCCCATCAGCCAGAAAACTAATAAATGAAAACAAAGAGGTTTTCCAGTAAGCTCTTTAAAGGTGCTCCATGGCAGGATTCAATGACACCCCTTGGGTTTTAATTCCAGCCGTCAGCATCCACTAAGGCATGTTGTCACGGTCACATCTCAATCACTTCTCCAGGCCCAGAAAGGACCCTCCAGCCCCCAGGATCGCAAAATGGACCCCCAAACCATTGCACTTGAGTTTTACCCTAGAGAAACCAAGTAACCAAAACCCAGAGCTGGATATTGGTCAGATCCTGCCATGTGGGAACACACCTCAAGTGAGAGACGGGGAAGGGAGTCAGCTTCTAGTGAGTGCTGAATCCATCCCAGTGCTGTGTGCGACTTCCATACTTTGTTTTCATTGAGTTCTCAATTCACCCTCAGGAGCTGGTACAGACTTGACAAGTACTGCCATTTGGCCTGCGCACTGCACAACTCCAGAAGTATCATCGCATGTCCTAGGATCGGCTATTATCCCTGTATGTGGTGAGGACCCTGCAAGCTTCAATGACTTGCTCAAGGTCCCCGGTCTAGAAACTAGCAGAGCTAGGATGAGAGGCTTTTTCTGACTCCTGGTCCAGTGACTTATCTAGGACCCCTTCTGCCTCCACCCACCCAGAGAACAGGGTACCTACCCAAGGTCACACAGGCAGAGTTAAAAACCCTGGTCACCTACCGGAATATTCTATGTGCTCTTCCTTGCTATTAGTACAACACAATTCCTTTTTTTTTTCCTTCTACTTTGTCTACTTGAGATGATGAAGTTCCTTTATAAATATCAATGTTGGTTATATGATTAGCAGATTAAGGAACCAACTTGATCAAGTAAAGGCTGGCAGTGTCCCTTGTTTATTTAGACGTGGCATTCTTGCTGCAAATACCACCTCTGGTGCACCGTAAAGGGCCCGTGGCGCCCACGAGACTGTGTTATAATAATATCCTCCCAACACAGGTGACACTGACTGGGCCCCAGTCAGGAATTCCAGGATGTATCGTCTGTCCAAGGCTAAACGGAGGGTTCAAGCTACTGATGAAGCTGTTTGCACAGGAGTCATGTTTAGGCACTGTTCCTTTCTACAGAATGGTGACACTAAGGGGCCAGGTTAACTTCAGATTTCTCTGACACAAAGATATTTACAGTAAAGCCCTGAGTGCAGAGACGGAGGATGAGGAGGGGATGTATCCTCACTGACACCAATGTCTCCAAAGACCTGAAGAGAGACGACTCTCTTTTGGAGAAATCACAAACATGTTCTAAAGGACTGGTTTTATCAAATGATAAATTGCTAATTCCGTTAGCTTATCATGCTCATAAAACCCCTTACTGTTAAAAATGGATTAAAAAATACAGATGGACGTTAGGTGGTGGTGGTACTAAAGGAAGACTTAAAAGTTATTATAAAATGAAAAGAATGCGAAATGTATTAGCAACTTGATCCTCTGGCTAATAAAATAAGTTTATTTATATATACATGGTAGCTGAATTCTGTGGATAAGGAAAAATAAGTCATACATCCACATATGTATATAACATATGTATCTTTGATTACATATGCTATATATAAATTTTACTTTACAGATTTCTTTATATGTATACACACACATTGATATATTAAATGCGATAGCTAACAGAAATATTATGATAAGGTTAAAAGGTCAGACAGCACACTGGAAAATGAATCTCAGAGCAACACTTAACCTGCTTCTTTGTGGGTTGAAGGGTCTTTGAAGAGAGACAACAACTGAACTCACATTAAGTAGGTTCATACGACATTGAGAACACACATTTTTGAAGGCCATTTTTTTTTAAAGGAAAATGTAACAAGAAAGGAAAAAGTCATGATAAAAATACCACAGAAACAACACGAACATATGAATCAACATTCAAATTCAATTCCCAATCTGACTATAAGAACATTTATATTCAAAATATACTATCAAACTATTTTTCTTTTAGAGAAAGGAAGTGTCAATGCAGTTATCTTCTCTCCCAGCTACTATCTAGTTGGAGAAAAACGGAGAAGCAGCCATCTCTGGAAGCCCCTCTTGTGTCTCTGAGGGTCTGACCCGTTGGCCGAGCCGGACACAGCGTGGGCATGGGGGAGCAGCAGCCGAGCCCTGATGGGGGGTGCAGTGCGGGGGCGATGGGATGATGAGAGCGGGATGGCAGGTCCGCCTGCTGACCCCAAGCAGGTCTGCAGCGCCAAGGAGGGAGAGAATAATGTCTGCTCCGGAGCGATCCGCTTTGGCATTCTTGTTTTTTTTTTTAAGATTGCTGGAGGAAGTTTTCAAAATTACAGCTCCACACCCCAAGGCTTCTATATAAACACGTTCCTCAGGGGCACATTGTGATGGCCTGTTGGGAAAACATAGCTGAACCCCAGTAAACATTTGCTCCTCGAAGAAAGGCGAGCATTCTCCAGCTCCAGGGCCAGATCCGTGTCTAAACCTCTCAAGGAAGGCACGCTTAACGCAGATGTGGGTGTCGGAGAGGAGGCAGGAATGTGCTTCAAGGGGAGTCTTTTTTCACCAGGGAAAGGCAGTCCTGTTAGCACAGCGGAAGCTCCCTGTCGTGTGACATTAGGGGACACAGCCTCAGGACGCCTCATGTCCTCGTGGGTTCCTGAGGGCCGCGTGCTCCTGCCCGCTGTCTGTAACTCGGGCGGAATTACACTAGACAGCCAGTGGCGCCTTTGGGAGGTTACTCATCCTCTGCGGTGGTGAGCTGTCCCCTCGTCCTGCATGAGTCTGCCATCTCCCCAGCCGGCCCAGTTCCCCTCACTGGTGCGCATACGAGGGGCGAGGAAATGGGGTGACACCGAATCAAGAGGCACCAGAGCTTTAAGCAGCACTCAAGGGCCGTGCACTTGACCACCTGAACATTCCACTTCTACTGGTCAGTCTCTCCGCTCACCTGCCCGGGGCTGCTGGGCCCCCCCACGTGCTCAAGGACAGGTATTAAGAGAAGCAATCAATGCAACTGCTTTGCTTAGAAATACTTTATTTTATAAAGCCACGGATCGTTCTGTAAAGTTTTTTGTTTTTTAAACCACACTTATAAAAAAGATGTTGACAATTCTTAGGAAGAAAAAAGCTGAAAATGTTTCTCATTAAGTCAGGGTTACACAAAGATTATATTTATAATATATATGTGTATATTTATAATTTAGAGACGGAAGGTAGGGACCGGCAAAGCGGGGCTGCTGCCGTCAGATCTCCGAGACTTGGTCATTTCCCACAAACAGCGTTTCTTGGCAGAAAGGGTTAACAAGGACCATCCCGGTGTCTCTGTAGTCGCCATTGGCTGGGGAGCGGGGCTCTGAGAGCTGGTCCTGGGGAGAGAGCAGGAGGAGATGGTTTAAGCCGGGGAGGGTCATGAGGTGGCCGTTCTTAAACAAACGTACACACGGGGACGTTTATTTCCACGTGGGATTGCTTGGTAAACATTTCTCATCAGCCTCACTGCCAACGCTGAGGCAGGGCCCTCTCGGGCTCTTCTTTCAGATTCTCACAGCAGCTTCTGAAAAAGATTTCCCGCTTCCTGAGTCACCTCACCTCAGGTTGCCAGAGGTGGTATTGCTCTCCTCGTACACGTCTGAGAGGCCTCGCCATGGCCCACACACACAGCGCCTGGCTTACTGCCCTGGTGGGCACAACGCGGTCCACCTGGGCCCCGAAGTCTCATTCCCGCCTCTTTCTCACGGACTTCTGGGAGATCTGGGTGCTCTTCCCCCCTCATCACACTCCACACTTGCCCACCTCTTTCCTCTCCTGCCACCCGCTGTCAGAGCCTTCCGGGGCTAATTCCACCCCTCTCGAATCCTCCCAGAGCCTAAATTCTTGCCCCATTTCTTGTACACTAGGTGTGCTGAGCTGAACAGATCTGAATCTGTGTGTGACTGTATAGTGGGTGGTAAGTAAAGAATCCAGTCTGTCTACACAGGCCCAGGAGTGGAAAAGCCTAGAAACAAGTAATCCACTGCTCAGGTCATCTGAATGGTTTTGGCCTCAAAACCAAGGAATGTAAGCATTTGTGGGCCATGAAATGGCTGTACTCAGGGGCCGGCCTGGTGGCGCAAGCGGTTAAGCGCGCGAGCTCTGCTGTGGCGGCCCGGGGTTC